TCATCTTTTGTGGCTAAGGACTCGTTCCGGCTGCCTCGCTCGCCCCTCTGGGGGGCAAATATATCATAAGCAAAAAGTCCTTGACGCTTCATTGACTAAAAAATTCTAGCACAAACACACACGCAAGCACTCACACTCTCGCCACATTTATTTGCCGAAGAGTTTTACTGGCTTTCTGTTTTTCTTTCCGCTCTTCATTACGGATGACTAAGAGCTGACTGCCCAAATAGGATATACTATATGGCATGGCCGTATGTGCGGTCTCCAGTGTCTTATTATAGATTTTGGCCAAAAATCTCCGCCTTGGTGTGGTTCATTATAGCCCCATAGTTGATGTTTATGCAGTGCTCGCAGCTATTTGCTTGGCCATGTTTATTCAGCAGCATGCCACAATCCTTTAGCCACTTTGGCCAGATTCATACACTGCTCTCTCTCTCTCTCTCTCTCTATCTCTCTCTGGCCATCGAAATAGAAAATATAGAAATAATATATGTGCTACATGGTGTGTGGGCATAAGTGTGCCAGTCTCTCGGATCCCAGACAACCGTCCCATTCTGTGACGTAAGGAGAAAGCAAAACTTTGGCCAGCTTTTTGGGCTGCTGTCGTCAAACTGGCTGAATGAGCCACCATCACGCACACTCTCACCCAGACAATTGGCCCGCTCAATGGCCGCGTGCCCCCCCCTCGTCCCGTGCTTACGCTAATGTAAATATTTTCCCACACCACCAACCACCACAGCACCACCCCACACACCTCCGCCCGCCTCGTTGTTGTCCTGTGCCACAATTGTATATGCAGCAGCCCTAGAAGAGGAGCTTCCAAGCGCCTCGTCTGCAAGCTGTAAAATCACCTCGCCCCTCTTAACCTACTGGCTAAGTGACAAACTGTCGGACTGGCGAATGACTGAATGACTGGATGACTGAATGACTGGATGCTGGTGATGATGTCACTGTTTATTGATTCATCCACTGGCTGACGGCCACGATGTCCACTTTCAGCACGTTTCTGTTTATTTTTGGCCAGTGCATTAAGTCAAAAGGCTAATTTGCCGGGCCGAAACAGAGTCCACCTCATTAACAAATTCAGTGTGTGGGCGTGACCGGGGCGTTATTGCTTCCAGTTCATTTGGCACGGTCTGGCCAGGACCGGCCTGTCCAGCAGTGCAAATGGGGGTCGTCCTCCTAATTAGCCATGGGCCATGGGCCATGGGTCATGGGCCAGGTTGTAGACTTGAGACTCAAATGCAGGAACGTTTAATTAAGGGGGCTGGGAAATGTGGCAGCGTGAATATTTTTGGGAGCCACCACGCCCCGAAAATGTCAAAAGTGTGCCATGCCAATGGCACTGTAAAATGTTGGAGGTAAATCTCTGTAGGTCAAAGGGCATGCTGCGTACGCAAGCAGTGTATCCCCAAAATAAATGCCAAAAAATCCATAATAAAATAACTTGAACGCAAAAAGTCAATAGTTGCCTGGTATCCATATTCCATAAAAATAATATAGCCTTACTGAATGCAAAATCTAAATAGTGAAGAACTTTGAACTTTGAAATTAAGCAAAGACTTAAATAAACGTAGAACTCTAAATTTTAGTTTCCAAATTTTAAATAACTATAGAAATCAGTATAGGAAATCAGATCTTAAGATACTAAGCTTACGTTTTCCATAAACCTAGCTGTAGGTATACAGATATTCAAGAAAATGCAATACAAATTCAATAAATCAATCAAAATCCGCATGCTCACCAAAGGCTAAAGCGTGGTTAAGGATCTCCGAGGCAACCAATCTGTCTGCCAAAACCACTGGTATCCCAATTTGTCTGATCTGTCGCCGCTGCTCGTCGAGGGTCCTGGAAATCGGTCATTTGCATATATATCTATGCCCGATTATGGAAGCACCCAGCTGCCAACGTGGAGTGAGGTGGAACTCACAAGTTGTGGCAGACAACCTGTCGCTGTGGTAAAATTTTCCATCCGCTCGCCTGCAGCCGCCGCACGAACATGACGCGGAAAATGGGCGAGGAGAAGTTCGAGGGCGGCCACAGACTAACAGACAGATAGACAAACAGACGGACAGACGGACAGACGAACGGAGTGATAGACGACGCATCTCCAATATCCATTTCCAACTAATTTGCGTAATATTTGACAGGAGCAAGGGACTGCAAGGATACGGCGGTGAGGAAGGTCCGTTGTCCGCACAAATCGATGATCTTTTTGCCGCCAAGTGGCCACTTGAGGACCGAGCGGTCCTCAAATTACAAATTAAATCAACCGCCAACCGGCAGCGTATGAAAATGTTGGTTTGAGCGTGCGAAGGAAAAGCAAAGGCGTGCGCACACACACTATCGCACACACGCACACACAGGAGCAGGCAGGATGTGGGCGTGGGAGCAAGGACTTGTCAAACGGAGGCGTCCTGTCCACTCGCCTCGGACCCCCGGGGTGTTGTTACTAAATTAGTTGGAAACCGGACCAGCAGGATCGTAAATTGTGAACGCGTTTTAATGATGTCAAGTTGTAAACGCAGCCGCAGGTTTCCCCGGAAAATGCTAGTGACGGGGTTTTTTCATGTTTTTTTTCATGTTTTTCGGCAGTGTTTTCCTTTTTTGGTTGGCACAGAAGCAAACTCTTTTGGTCGACAGGGACTGGCATGTAAGATAGGTTTTTTTCCGAATAATTCACTAACAAAAATGTATACGCATATAAAAGTTTCAGGTATGTTTAATAAACTGTTAATACAGCTGAAGAGTTTCAAGTTCTGTGGGTGAATGAAGTCCAAGGATCCTTAGCTACCATTCAGGACTATATTAAAAACACATGTGTGCGGCTCTCACGGCATCCTTCTTATCCGCATAATCGTTTTCCAGTGTAAACACTTAGGGGGACGATTGTAATTTTCCCGACTACCAAATACCAACTACCAACTGGCCGACTACCAGCAAAGGTGTGAAGTGAGGAGCGTTGACGTTTTCACAGCAGACACTTGATGACGTTATGCGGAAATAAACAAAGACACATAGCATACGCACCCAGAAATGTGGGAAAAGCGAGCTGCTGACAAGGAAAAATTGGAAATGGGAAAACGCTGGAGGGAGGCGGAAAGCAGCGAGGGACACAACAATGAGAAATATTGTGCAAACATGCGCATAAAATGAAAACTCATTGATTGTCTTCGCATATTGAATTTTCGCCACATCTCTCAATCTGCGAGAAAACCTTGCCAAATCAATTGTTCGCAGATGGGAAATTCCACAGAGAAAACGGAGAAGGCCGTGTAGCTTCAGTCAGTGAACTAATCCAATTTAATTTAATTGGCTATTCTGTTTCCACGAAATGTACGCACTTTTGTTTCACTTAGAGTTAAGGCCGTTGCGTATAAAAAAGTTAAATAAAGTATAGGTATTCGTTACATCCCAAAGAATAAAGAAAAAAAGAAAAACATATTAATAGGTGTATGTACAAAAACTCATCTTAATTAACAGTCTACAAGTGCAATAATTGATACGATAGCCATATTTCACATCAATCAATTAGTTTCCATTTTGGCTTAATTATAAATGCTTTGTAGATACGAGACAATTTTGTTACGACAAATTGGCCAGAATGTCAAATGGGCAGAAGGGTAATTTGAATTCTGGATTATTTTAAGAACCGCATGGAAAATTCAAACGAGCCGAGAAGTGGCCATCAAGTGCCAGCTTTTGTTGGTAGACCAGCAATGAAATCGCATTTAGCTCACGGCCATAACAATGACGCCATTAAACTTGAAAGTGTTAATTAAAAATTAAAATTGATTGTCCGCCAGGACGAGAACCAGGCAGACATCTTCCGCCGAGTCCTGATTCTGGTCCAACTTTCTCTAAGCACATTCCGTATTCATGGCGACCATCAAAACTTGTTGTAAAGTAATTTAGCCAGCCAAGTGATTAACAACGGCCCAAATGGATGAAAGCCAAGGACGAACTTCCACACAGCCGCACTCCATCCGAAGTCCTGCGACTAATTTGCTAAATGCAATGGCCAAAAATAACGGGCTGCAAAGTTGGCCAAACTAACGAAAATAGCTGCAAAAACTTTTTCGCTTCGGCCATTGTTGACAAAATGATTTAGTGACAATCTATTAAACGCCCGCTGATTGATGATTGATAACCCAGGATAAACCATAACGCCCACCAGCCGGCTAAAAGGATTAAATTGCTGGCCAAACTGCAGCACCTTGGATCATGAAATATGCACGAGTTGGCCAGGAATAACAAGAGGCGCCATAATGAAACGGGTCTATACGACCGTACACCAAGTTCTACGCATTAATAACTGGCGCAAAAGAAATGGTGACGGAAATAGAGCGATTATGGCATGTCCTTCGGGAGCTGCCCCACTTGCTTTGGCCCTTTGAACCAAAAAAAAGAAAGCACTCACACTCGAAGTGGCTATGTGTGTGTGGTGGGTCAAGAGCGCGTTTCACTCGACTCAATTCGACACGAAACGCAGCGATATTGGACAGATATTGACCGACTATTGTGGGTAAATGTTGTCCTTCTGAGCATGTAACACGCATTTGTAAATTAGCCATGCCGCAGTAATTACAATACACTGCAGCTTACTACAGAACTTTGCGAACTATTCGATTTGATTTAATAATTGATTTCATATTGGGTAATACTGGGTATAAAATCAAAGTATCATATACTATATGTAGGTTGAACTATAAAGAAATAAATCCTGATTTGAAGACTTGGCTGCTTATACTCGTATTATCCTTTTAGCACAACTACTGCTGCTTTCAAATTTGAGAAACTATATTAGATTGGTGAAAGTTCACTCTAATTAGGGCTTATTAGAGGTTTACTTCAATGTGAAAGGTGGATATTCGATTGGATCGAATTAAGGGCAGACAGTCGGCTAAAGGTCACAGTTGAAGTCGGCTAGGTTATGACAATTGCCCCTGGTTCAATTGGGAATTTGTACGTATTTGTACGTATTTGTATCTGAAACTCACCGATTTGTGGCACATCGTATTGCCGTTGACCGCGGGCGGTGCGCAGCATCAGCTGGCTGGCTATGCTGTGGGAAATCGGTGGCTGCGCGGAGTAAACGCCTCCTGGTGATCCCATGGATCCCGCTGCTCCGGATCCGGATCGCTTGTGGCTGGGATCCTTTTTGTCCTGCTGCGACTGTTGCTCCACCTGCTGCTTAGACGACCCATCGCCGGCTGTTTGTTTGCCGGAGGAAGAAGTGGAGGAGGAGGCGGCAGAGGATGCACTGCCTCCTAGCTCGCTATGTGGCTTCTCGTTATCCTTGGAGCCGGAGCGACTGGATGGCTTCAGGTGCTTGCTGGCCGTAGCCTCCGAGTTGGCGGACAGTGATAGTTTGCCAGTCCGCTGCGGCTTGAAGTGCTGGGCGAAGATCTGGCGCTGCAGCTGTTTTTCCGCCTCGGCATTATGGGCAACACCCTGGCCATTTCGTTTCCTGGCCCACTTTTGCTGCACCCTTATGTTGTAGTTGCCCGGGTTGTGGGCTTTGCCGGAGTGCATCGTCTTGAACGGGGCGTCTCGCTGCTCCTGTTCCTGCTCGAAGAGCTGCTGCAGGGAGTCCGGTGCACCCAGCTCCAATTGCTCTAGCGTGCGGTAGGGATTCTCCGGTAGTGGTTCATCCTCCAGGCCGTGATACTGATAGGCGTCCAGTTCCCGCAGCAACTCATCCTCGCCCAAGTGGGGCTCCTGCGGTTCCTGATCCAGTTCCGAGAAGTCATCGAAGTCGCCGAACGAGTGCAGCGGTTCGTAGAGGGACTCCGCCTGCTCCTCCCTCTCCGCTGGCTGCACCACCCTTCCGTAGTATTTTACGGGTCTATTCTCCAGCTCCCTCAGCTGCTCGTAATCCTGTTCCAGGGTAACCGGCGTTGGCGGCTGCTTCTGGACATTACCGAAGATGTAACCCCGTGCGGCCTGCTGCAGCAGCGCCGGATAATCGCCCACGTCCAGCTCCTCGCTGGGCTGCATCTGTATCCGGCCGGCGATGAAGGGATGGCCGCGATGATTGCTGCCCGCCGGCGGCTGTTCCGCCGTCTGCTTGGCACGGGCGAGGAGCATCAGTCGCTCCCGCTCCAGCTGGGCCATGTCCGCTATCTCCTTGTTCAGCCGCACCGTGGTGGCATCGAAGGCGGCCGCTGCGGCGGATCGATGGCCATGCGGCGAGGATCCACCGCCGGGCGGTGATCCTCCGGGATGCTGCTGGTGCTGCTGCTGCTGCGAGGGTGCGGTCTGCCAGGCAGCGGCGGCACCCGTCGAGGGTCCCACGGGATGACTGGGCACCTGCACGACCTTTCCTTCGCCCAGCGACTTGTCACCGTTCCCGTTCCCATTCCCATTGCCATTTCCGTTTCCGCTCAGGTGGAGGGCATAGAGGCCGCCCTGGATGAGCAGGACGCAGAAGAGCGTCTGGGCCAGCGAGCAGAACATTTTCCGTTTGTTGGTCTGGCGCAGCTTCTCGATTAGACGGCTTATCTTGGCGGTTTCGGGTTGGGTTTACCAGGGGGAAATACAGATAGCTTGTGTTGGGGGAGGGCGGGAGTTATAGAGACAGGTGGCAGGTGGTTTTTGGGGGGCTGGTGGCGGTGAGTGGTGAGTGGTGAGTGGTGGTGAGGGATAGTCCCGATATCAATGTTTCTCTCTGGGCTTTCGATGCTTTGCACACACGGCTTTTGTGGGTCTTCAGGCCCCACACCGCTGACCAACACTGTGCCGGCCTAAGCCTGGCATTGCACTACACTGGCCTGCACCGAAGTTTTTTCGAAGTTTTCAAAACTTTTCCGAACTTTGCGTTTTTCTTTCTTTTTTGGAACTTTTTGGCTCTCTCGCTTTTTGTGGATGCCTTGCAACGACCGTTTGTGGTGTCGTTATTTTTCGATATTATCTTTCTATTTTCTCGGGCACTTAACTTTAACGTTTTTTCACTGGCCAGTCACTCGATTTCGATTTAGACCTTAGGCTTATTAGTTAGTTTTTTCGCGGCACTTTGGTTTCTTGGGTATATAACTTTGTTGTGTTGTTACTCAGCTTTTTTGAGTGGTGTGAAAACTTTCCCTTGTTCTGGGTGATGGATGTTTAGTGGACTAGCTTTGCTTCTAGTGTGTGTATTTTTTTTTTGTATATATTTTTTTTGTTATATTCTTTTTTATCGCCTGGCTTGAAGAGTGTTCCGCACGTTTGAACCGACGAGCAAGGACTCGTCGTGTCGTCTCAGCAGGATTTGCCTGTTTGTCTGCCTTTTGCTTGGCCGCCTGACGCGTGTCCCTCTGCTGCTGCCACTGCCGCGGTCGGCGTCGCAGTCGCTGTCGCTGCCCGCGTCGATGTCGCTGCCTCTCCTCAAGGCGTTTCGGATTTCCACTTTATGTGGCAGTCGTTGTCGTAGTCGCACTCGTACACCCACTCCCTGCACGCCCCGCCTCGAATTTCACTCCTCGGACGAACCGCTGGCTGCTGGGCTGGCTTCTCTCCGCTCTCTCTTGCTCCTTTCTCCTTGCTCCTTTCTCCTTTCTCTTTCACCGTGCTCCGTGATCCTGACTCCTGACTCCTGGCTCCCTGCTCCGTTCTCCTGCTCCTGCTCCGGCTGCTACTGCTACTGCTGCTTCTGGGCTTCCTCAGCTCCAGCTTGTGTGCTCTCGGCCAGCGGGAAAAACTCGAGCTCGAAACGACTGTTCGCTCTATACTGAGCGCTGTGGCCGCTCAACCACTTGTTTTCAACCAGCCTCATGTGTAGAGTTTTTCCCGAAGTCTAACGGGATGGGAGAAAGTGAGAGAGAGAGAGAGAGTGCCTGCTCCTGCGCACTGTGCACCGTTACCGGCATAACCGACTCCCTGTTTTCCATTTCCCAGATGCCATATGATTTGCGGTCGCCAGTTTGCGTGGGTTGTCCAACATCCGCATCGTAGTCCTTCCTTCTGGCGGGGCATTTCCCCAGTTCGACTCGAATTTGGGGAATTCCATTTAGCTGTCATCAGCTGTGGCTCCTCTAATCCCAAATACACCCCAGGATTCAATCACTGAATGCACTTCTCACTGGACTTACCCGGAATCGGTGTGTTTTCTTGCCGGAAAAATCAATTGTGGGAAAATTAAGTGACACCACATATCTGGTTTCTCCCGAGATAAGGATTGTGCTTCATTAAAGGCAAACTAATGGGAATTTCACTGAAATCACTTGGCTAAAGGCTGTCGAGTAACCCTTTTTAAACACAAGATGTATGAATGTATATCAATTTAAACAAATTCAGTTGCATAAACTACTAAATTATAGACCGTTTTGGCAATCATGTTTTTAAACAAATTTTAAATTTTGGCATATTTTGTCGAAGTTTTCAATGTTTGTTTAATTGCCTAAAATTATAATAAAATATTTCCTAATAAAGTAATACTGCATAAGTCATAGCGGTCAAGTAAAAACCATATAAACTATATTTGATTCCTATATACAACTTTTACCATATTTATAATAAATTTTGATCATAAGTTTTTACATTTCCCGTGATATTTGCAAATCCCTTTCTTATAGCAAATGCTGATCGACTTCCCAACGAGCTAGCGGTACATTTCCCCTACATTTCGAACATCGAAAAACGTTGACAATCACATTGGCGACACACACACATCATCTAATGCCAAAGTACAACTCACGCAGCAGCACCGAGAATATATTGTGAATAAAAGAGCACATAGATTGCAAGTCATTAAAGCTGCCGAACCGAACCCGAACCGAGAATAGGGAGGACGCGGAGCCGAAGGTCCTTTCGATTCGGGCGAAAGCCAACATGAATGAAGGAGAATGTCCTGTGGAAGAGGCGTCATCGTTGCTTGCAGCCCGCTTTTCGCTTCTCGTTTTTCGACTTTTGCCATTGTTTTTGCTGTTGCACACGACAAACAGCTGAAGGCAGTGGCGGGGCGGGGGGCGTGGCTGCGAGAACCGAGGACGAAGACGAGTCCTTTTGTCGTCACAATGTCTGTGGCTTTTACGTTTTACGAGCGAGCTATAATATATTCGCCGTGCCAACGTAATGATTCCCGAGCCGAGGTGAAGTTGAATCAAGAGCTCAAGCCACGTGAATGGACTTGGTCCACAGTGTGGAGAGTTTTGAATGGACGAAATGGTGAACTGGCACCTCGTATAATCGAAAAACTTTCGCAATCGAACGTAAAAGGTGAGAATACAGCTAAAATAGTCAGTCATTCATAGCCAAATTTTTTCAATGAAGTCCGAAGCTTAAAACAGTTAATTATTGAATTAGTCATAAAAATTATACGATGAATTTAGTGTACACTTCTCGCATATTTAGTATTTCATCATATTGTCCCTGTTTTTAGGCCTGTAATATAACCAAATTCGAAATTATTTGATCTCCAAGCCCAATCTCAACGGAGGAAAGTCTCCGTGTGAAAAGCCGGCTTGGACTCTCAATTTGTTGCGCGGCCGAAAGTCTCCGGCTCGTTTGGAAAACTCTACAGGCGACGGCAAACAGCTGAGCCTGGCCAGGACCTTTCCCATCCCCCCAACGCCTGGTCCTACCACAAGCCAAATGCACTTGCTGGAACCACGGGCAAGCGAAGGATTCCTGGGGGGACCACGACAACAGATGATTCTGCCGCCGGAGTGCGCAGGCGCAAACTCAAGAGGCGACGACTACGTCAACAACAAAAATCGAAGCGGCGGATTTTCATTCAGGAGATAGCCCCCCTCCACCCACGAAAGTTGGGGAAACAAGAGCGCGAGCCCTCGAGCAGCGACATGGAGACGGTAGCATGGAAAATGGTAATGGGAAGTGGGGATTGGGAGTGGGGAAATTTGATGGAGCAGGGGCATTTGGGGAAAATCAGCGCCTGGCTGGCGTCGTTTTTCGACGGACGTCGTCGTCGTCGAGAAGCCGAAGAATCGGGGAATCGGGGAATCGGGCAACTGTTTGGCCAAGAAACGGGGGGGCGGAACGAGGACGATGGGTGCGCCGCACGACGATGACGCCTACGCAGCTCTGTGACGTAAGCACGCTCGCAGGACCTCCGAGCGAGGAGCCGAAGCTGAAAGCGAATGCAGACTGGCCCCATTGTCCTGGCCGAAGGCGATTCATTGGCGATTCCACAGTTGGGCTCGTCACATGGCCACCTCGGCGTTGTCCTGTCTCACACTAATCCTTTTCAGGTTCCTTGCACGTTTGCACTTCGAACCCGGCGAATCAAAAGGGGTTTGGTGGTGCAGAAATGACTTAAATAATTAAAAACTATGAAAATGAAAGCATTTGCAGTGCATTATGTCTAATTTACAATGTGGGGGATATTGGGCAATTAAACGGTATCTTTTAAGTTCTTGCAATTATGCAAACTATTCCACAAGAATTCAGTTCTCAGAAGAATAAACTTATAAATGAATTAAACAAACTGGGATATAAATGTAATATAATAGATATATATATGTATAATTGTGCCTAACTGCACACTATCATCTCAAACCTATAGCGATTATTATTAAATAATAATAAATAATAAAAAATAATTATTTTATTATTATTTTCATTATTATTATTATTAGTATAATTATTATTGGTATTATTATTAATATTATTATTATATTTATTATTAATATTATTATTATTATTAATATTATTATTAATATTATTATTATTATTAATATTATTATTATTATTAATATTATTATTATTAATAATAATTAATAAATATTACTATTTCAATAGCTTAATATGGGTTTCAATCAAAGTGTTTGGTCTACAATAAGCCCATGTCATTCGCCCCCTATTCCACGCCTCCCGTCGTGATTTATGATGTGACTTTAATTGCCCGCAGAGAGCAAAGTTCAATTACAACCCCCATAAGTATGCTGCACTTTGGTGGGGCACAGGACCCTAATCGGTTGACTGATGGCCGATGACGGAGATCGGCTCGAGTGTCCGCCTGCGTATGCTCAAGTCGCCACTTGCGTATGACAACTCCGGCCTCCGACCTCCAGTCCTGGCCACCTCCATCTCCACCTCCACCTACACATTCACATCCAGCTCCAGCTCCAGCTCAACCTCTACCACCCATCGACATCGGTCTGGAGATTGCCGGCTGTGCTGTTGACATTGAATTCCGTGGGATATGGCCAAAATGCTATAAATAGCAGCCGAGTTGAGCAGCGTTTCCTTTTGGCGCTCGCCGCTTTTCCTTTTTGCGCCGCTTGTCTTTCAGACTTCGTCCACAGCCAAACAGGAAATTGCATGGATTCCACGAGGCGCTGCCAAGACGCCATCAAAGCCGTTGATTAAAAATTGAACAGCAAGCCCAGCGACAACGCAATAGGAGCAAATAAATAGATACAGCCACTGGGGGGGAGGTGGTGTGGCAAGTGGACTCCTGGCCGGAGGAAAATCTCGTTGCCAACGAATGGCCGCACAAACAAAATCAAACAAAATCAGACTTCAAGGGTCACTTCCGCTTCAAATGGCAAATCGGGTTTATGCCACCTCCAGCCACCTCCTACTGGCACTTCTTCCTCAATTCCACAATGCCACAATTCCTCAATCCTCGATTCTCGAGTAAAACACGTCTCCGTCGCACTGCCGGCTTCGAAGAATTTTCCTAAATTAGTTTCCGGAGAAGAATGCTACAAGCCGCTTCTTTTCGGCCATTCGACTGGAAATATGGGCATTTTTGCTGCAACGGAACTACTTGAAAATCAGATGCTGTATAATAAGGTGAACGTAGAAGGGTATCCTAAAATCAATCTTCAAGAGACTTAAGGATTCAATACAAAATATCATATCGATTGTGATATGTTGCTGAGTTTGACAGACATACAAAATTGAGGAAAAACTGAGCTATGGTCTATTTCTTCTAATTCTCTGTACAACATGGAAACATTTGTGCAGCAGAGCGCTGAGATTAATCGCAACTCTTCGCCCACCAAATGCGCATCTCTAATTGGCCACTTAACCAACATTGCTATTGAAGTCTTATTCAGTAGTATGGCGAACAAAAAAATAGTTATTTTCGCATTGGCTAAAAATAAACGCTATACCAAATTTTAATGTCACTTTCAATGTCAACTGTTACGTATTTTGCGTGGCATTTGTGGAATGAATTTAGGCCCGAATGCAGGACTTCAGCCCGAGTAAACAGGCTCGATTTTTGGGACAGTGCAAGGGGATTCGATTCAAGGGGAAACTTGGAGCTGTGGGAGGTACTACAACGTTTATCAAGTGGGTGACAATGAGTCGGTAGTGACGACAAGTGGCTGACATTTGAAAGGCCAGAGAATACTGGGCCAAATTATGCGATTCAAAACAGTACCGAATAGCCCAGTAGCAATAGATTTCAATCTACGAAATGCAACAAATCGAAACGGATACAGATACATATACAGCTACAGCTATAGATACAAATACAGATACAGATATGTACTTGTAGCTACGCACAAATAATTGTCGGGAAATCAATAAGCCACGCCCCACGCCCCCAATTTTCATGGCGCGTGCGAGTAATCAAAACGACATTTCACTTGCCTATGACGCCGCAATAAAGTATGCCGTAAAATAATTCATTCAATTCACCGCCGACCGGTGGTCTATATACTTATAGGTCCTGAATGAGGCAATGGTAGTGGTTGGCTTGTGTCCTTGGGGCTTGTTGCATTGATTTGTGCAAATCAGCTGCCTAATCGCCAGCGAGACGTTAATTGGATCAGG